ATCCTGAGTGAGCTGAAGAGTAATGACATTGTCTTTCTGTATGTTTAGTCAGTGGGATTGAAGAAGCTGCTGGGAGAGAACTGGTGGAGTTGAGTGATCTAAAAGCCATGTTTTAAGGAGGGTTTGGGCAGGGTTGGTGAAAGGAAGCACTCCAGCTTTTCGGTCAGCCTTTGTTTTCCAGGCTAAACATGCTTCTTTTCATGTTGCTCAGGCTGACCTTCTCCTTGCAGATTAGTTTTGCCCCTTCACCTTTGTCCTCTCTGGGCACTCCTTTTGCTTTCTTTGAGAGATTCCTTGTGTTAATTCTTTTCTTTGGTGGCTTTTGTTTTGGTCTGCTTTTATTGTATTAAACTGGTCACATTCTGTACAATACATTCGAGTTGTTCCAGAGGCCTCCTTCACTGCTCCTTAAATTCTGTGTGACGTTTTGGAGTCCTGCGTGGAGGAAATGAAGTACTCCTGACATTTAAGAGCATGTCAGGTATTTTCATATAAAATTGTATTTGAATCAAACCCAGTGACTTTGCAGATATTCCTAGAAAGAAGTCTTGCCCCACTGCTAATCTCTGGAAACTGTGCTCTGAGAAGATGAAAGAGGAAAGTATTTCTACAGTGTTACATGAGCACTTTAGAGATATGGAGATGTGATGAGAGGTGTTGGGGGATGGGAACACTATCATTCTGTTCAGCAGCTGTCCTTTAGATAAGATTGCAGGGAATCCCATTGTTTTCCCAAATTGATAGCACTGGGACTGCAACAACTGGGACTTCTGTGACAGTAATGGGTTTCAAATAGAAAGCAGCTGAGAAAAAAACCAAGACTGTAGGTCTCTGTCCATGGTATATAAAGTAAACATAAATAATTTAGAGAAATGAGGTTGGCTGCAGTGTGCTCCGTGTTCAGGAGGGTCCTGCATCTCTCTAATGTCGGTGGAATGTAAGCATTTTTTGGAGGTGATTCACTGGGAGGAGAGTGTGGGGGATAGACATGCTCTGCCTGAGCACACAGTGTAACTGTTGGTATTTTGCCTTAAAGGGAATTGTCCCTTCTCATTCTAACCAGAAAATGCAAAAGTCCCAATGAAGTCAAGGAGAGCTCTGTACACGAAATGGCTCTACAGCCAGTGCAGGGGGTGGCAGTCTGTCTGTGCTGTTTGTGAAAGAAAACTGTTAGTTTTCCCTAAGAACTTAGGTGGAATTACAGTTAGAAGGAGTAAGGACTGGCTGATGGAAGCTGTAAATGTAGACTGAAGTGCATATTCCAACGCCCAAGCCCACGTGTGCGTGAGCATCCAACCCCCAGAGAGTACCAGCTGCACGTTTGGAGCTGGAATTAGTTACATTGCTGTTACTTCTGTTAATTCACACATAATCCAGATAAAGATTTGAAAACTGTATTGGAATTTAAAAATATCACTTAAAAATAACATCCACATCAACCTTCAGTGATGCTCTGCCTTCCTGACAGTAGTGGGTTTTGCAGGAATGTGACATCATGACAGTCCAGATCAAGTACTGTGGGCTCTAGTTCCCAGCCCTGTGTGCAGCAGTATTGCTACATGTCGTGCCCCCCTTCCTGACGAGTTCACACCATGGGTGCCTGGATGCTGGCATAAAAAAATCCTAACATTTGTAAGGGAAAACATGTTTTTGCTAGTTAAATTTTTTGAAGGAGCAGCCCAGTAAATAAGGTGCAAATAAGCTCTGATAAGAAGAGGGAAAAGGCTTTATATTGGGTCACCATCCTTTCTGGGATGAATAATGTGGGAACGCTTCACAGTGCGGATTTTGACAAGTTTACACACACACACACAAGTGTGATGCTTCCCCATGTTTGTCTTGTTTCTCCAAAACTGCTGTTTTCTGAAATAGTGTAGCAGTTAGAGCAGGCAGGTTTCCAGCTCTTTGGTACCAAAGAACAGATTTAATTCCCAGAAGTGGTCTGCCTGGTTGCCATTGCATTGCCACACGTGTCGAGGCTGGTTGGGTGCATTGCAGTGTGGGGCAGGGATTCGTAGGCTTCAAAACCAGCATGGGGATAGGAAGAGTGGCCCATGGTTTATTTGCTTTTTCTCCTTGGAAAAAGGATTCCCATTTTGCCCAGGTGGGTGTTGCAGATGTAACAGCACACACTGTTGATAAAAACACTGCCCATAGTGCATGGTGTCCTGGGCTCTGGTGGGTTGGATCTTATCCAGCTCCCAGCTGGCCTGTGCTCTCTGGGGTATAGCTGTCACCCTGGGCCAGAGAGTGTCCACCTGTTCCCAGGTGAACTTTCAGGGTTTCACGACCTGCCACCAGAGCTCCTCTTGCCCAAAAGGCCATAATCTTACAGGGCTGCTGTAGAACTGCTGTAAACGTGGTGGTGTGGGGAGTCCTCATCTCCAGAGGCTGCTTTCTGCAAGGCTTGTCAAGGCAGGGTGCCTACGTTGTAGGGTCCTACCTCCTCTTGGGCTGAGAACATCTGCTGGGGAGAGCTTTAGTTCGTATCAGGCAATTGTTGGATTTAGCGGGACCTGTGGCCAACAAATTGACCAAAAAAAAAAATCAGGTCACTGGGTTGCCCAGGGTGTCTTGAGTTACCTTATTTAATAGCTGTGATCTGAGTAACGTGGAATATTAAACAACGAGGGCCTGCGTGCTTGTGGCTTTCTAACACAGTGCCGAAAAGCCAGGTGCATTATAAAAGGATACTGCTGGCTCCCCTTGTGATGCTCTGTCTGTTCCAAAGCAGGTTTGCTCTGCTTTAGAACACAACCAGCTGTTGAAATCTCAAAAAAATAAAACCAAAATGAAATTCTTGTTTTCCAGCCAGGCCTAATTATAATCAAGAATTTTAGGCTTTGTGGACTCTTAAGCCAGTTGCATTTTAAAATGAGTGCACATAAAAACACTCCTTGAATATGATACTTGAGCATTCTGTAAAGGGATAGCACACAGCCTGAAGAGTTTGGTAACACACGTGATGAGCAAAGCTGTGTACAACCTCCCCACAGGTGCAGAGCTGGGGCTTGGAGTAGTGCAGTTTACTCCTGTGTTACATACATACTCACTCTCTGTGAGTGTGTAAAATAATGGCACTGCTTTGCCATTCTCTGTGATCCTGGGTGTGGACTGTAGTGCAGCCTAAATTACAGTGTGATGGATTTGTTTGGGCTCTAGGTATTTTCAGAGGCTGCATTTAACAAGTTGCATCTTCACTGCTCCTTATTTTTTGTGCTGGTTCTTAAAGCTTTTATGGGGAAATTTTCATTTCTTTCTTTATTTTTATTTCTCTACTTATTCTTTCCTTCCTTGCATATGAGGACCTGTCCTAATAAGAAGGGAAAGTGCCTGAGTAACAAGGAAACCTGAAACTGCTGTCTTAAGTGCTGTTCAGTGCATACACCAAACTGGGGACTAAATGTCAATACTGGGTCTTAGGTTTCTAAAGAAACAAATTTATTATTTTTTTTCTGACCTGTGGAGCATCTTAAGTAGCCAAAACTGAAGAAGAATCAGATCACCAAGTGTATGTACCTCTCTTGGGTTTATTATGCATAGAGGCCCTTTGGGGGAAAAGTTACAAATCAGTACTTTTATTTTACCTGATCCTAAATCCTATTTCATAGGGCAACAAATGAGGAGCGTAGATACAAGGTATCATCAGACAACAAAAAATGGGCAACAGCTTTCTCTGACTTAGTTGATAGGGATAGATGGAGTTGTTCGTCCACATCTGAGTGTTTGCACTCTTTAACTCATTGGCACCAATAACCTGAGAGGAGTTACATGGTAATTGAGCTGTAGACAAAGGAAACAGTTTCAGCGTGTTGCTGTTCTTGCTGTTGTTTGCATGTGCAGCGCACAAATCCACGGCCAGCGTGCTGGTTTGGACACTGTGTCAGTGAAGGCTTCAGCGACCGCAGTGTTCGGTACCTGCTCGTTCGTTTGCTGTCCCTGGTTAGCAAGGGCCCGTGTGGTACGTGAGGGCTCGGTGGGACAGCTGTACAGCTCTGCCCTCTCCGTCCTCCTTCCATCTGGATGAACGTTTTAAGCGGGTGGAGTTGTGGGAAAACAGTTACGCTTGGAGTTTATATGGTGATCTGTTTCCATTCTAAACAGGTTCGTTCCGAATATGCCAAGACGGAGCTGTATCTTTTCGTGGGGCCGTGCGGGCAGCGTTCCCTCTGCCTGGCACGGCGGCAAAGGCTGCGG